CAGCAAGGGGCCATTCTCTCAGCGAAACCAAGCCGAAGTCAAGGAAGAGGCTGGGAAGAATACTTCGATGGGCTTCTAAACCGAAGAATTCCATTCTCTCTCTTCAGCAGAAGATGCAGTGGATCGGAACAAGTGGCGACGTCTAACAAGATCAGCGGACCCTGCGACGGCGCGGGACTAACGCTAGGGAGAAGAAGAAGGTCAGAAATTCAATACTTCCTTCAAAAGAGCGATAGAGCGCTCAAACTGATAAGTGATGTAGAGGGTCGAGCAGAAACATTATTGGTAGGTGGCAGGACGTGATAACAGCAGATAAGATAACATCAGGAACCTCAGAAGGGAAGGGTCACAATTTTATAGCGGCGACCACAGCAACGACGGGACATTGGTCAAGAAGTGATATAGGGGCAAGATGTGAAGGTCATTGGTGGGTGTGGGTGGCCAGATGTGATAGCAATTGATAAGACAACATCAGGAGCCTCAGAAGGGAAGGGTTACGATTTCGTAGCATCGGCCACAGCGACGATGGGACGTGGGACGTTGGTTCCAAGAAGTAAGGTAGGGGCAGGAGGGGACTTTATGGATGGGTGGCAGGAAGTGATAGCAGCTGATAAGATAGCCCCGAAAATTCCTAGCAGAGATGTAGCACTGCTCCAGCAAAAGGGAAACTGTTCCAGCAAGTAATCCTGAGGTTTTTAGGGAGTATCAAAGGTTTAAGATAAATTCTGGGAGTCCATATATATTGTACTATACTGAGTCCAAATATATTGTACTATATTGTACTGTACTATTGTACTATATATACACACTGTGATTTCGATATTTTTACCATCGGAACTCTCAACCGCTAAGCCGTTCTATTACCAACGAATGACCTGTGTTTTTAGAAACCTGGTAAGCACATTGGCAATCGCTCGTTAAAGAGGAGAAATATGGAAACATGATAAAATGGCCCGAGTTTCGAAACATGGGAACTAGGTCAAGTGTTCACAGAAATCCTGTATTGATCATGAAAACAGACTGAGCCATGCGCGTAGTAGTGCCCGCCAGCCGAACTGGTATTGAGAATAGTTAATTAGCAATAGCAATAGCAAGCATAAACTCCTAAGTACTCAGAGACTAGATAGTATTAGGTTGTCCGGAAAGTTCTTAGCGTTTTGTGCACCTAATGTTTGTACATTCACTGCTGTTTAAAAACTCTTTCTGCCTTGCTTCTCAGTAGCCAATCCTGTAGAGAATTTCTTGCGCTATCTGATGGTATAATTGCCGTTTCACCATTGCTTATTGAACTCCCTTTTTTCAAGATTTTTTCAAGCATGTGAAAAGAGCACTTCGGACGATTTTTTTCTTCGGCTATAAATTGGGGCAATCCGCAATCGAAACAGCTCAACAAATTAACCAGGTGTGGAGGCCCAATAGTGCTAGAGAAAGCACTGTGCCGCAATGGCTCAACAAATGTCGTTCTGGAAATTTCAGCCTTGAAGGTGAGCCTCATAGCGGTCGACCTAAAGCAATTCTGACGAGGATTTTGGAGGGGATTTCGGAGGCTGATCTAATCCAAACAGTTCGAGAGATAGCAGAAGAGCTAGGCGGCAAATCCACTGTTGCAGATGGTCTGGAACGCATTGGGAAGGTGAAAAAACTCGACAATTGGGTGCCCCACAATCGAGTGACCGGCAGGAATCGGCACGTCTCGAGGTTCCTTCTTCACTGCTTTTTGCGCGAAAAGAATTGACCCGTTTTTGAACGGATTTGTCACCTGTGATGAAAAATGGATCATGTATGATAACAGGAGACGTTCCGGACAGTGTTTGGATTTGGAGGAACCAACGAGGTAATTTTCAAAGCCGAACCCTCGCGAAAAAAAAATTCTGGTCAGGTTGGTGGTCACCGGCTGTTGTAATCCCATATAACTTTTCATCACCAGGCCAAAACCATCACAGCAGAACCCTACTGTGAACAAACCCGACCAAATGTACGCGAAAATATTGTCAGCTGCAGCCAACACTCATCAAAAGAAGGGTCCGACTCTTTTGCACGACAACGCCGCGCCACACGTTTCACAAATCACTATCTATAAACTGAACGAATTGGGAGTTGAAGTTCTACCACTCACCCACCATATTCTCTAGACGCTTTTCACCAACCGCACTGTCACCTTTTCAGACATTTTCAGAACTTTCCTTGCTGAGAAATACTTCATCAAACAGGACCAGGCAAAAAAGACCTTCGCATATTTCGTGATTCTCGACCACCAGTTTTTTCTTTGATGGGATTTCTGCGACTGCTGCACATTGGCAAAAGTGTGCTGATTCGAATGGTGCTTATTTGGATTAAATCCGATGAGTGTTAAGAAAGTTATGATCGTTTAAAGTTAAACACCCAAAACGCTAAGAACTTTCCGGACAACCTAATACATCTCAAACAGATTTGTACGTCGATCTTTTCAAACCCTAAACAAACTTCTGTATGCATGTACAAAAATCAGCCGAAGCAGAAGTTAAACCTTTGCACCACCTCTACATGGAAGCGTAATGCACACCGCACGGACCGCACCGATCGATGATAACCAAAGTATGCTTTGACTCAGTTCAACAGAAATATGTGTGTTGAAGGCATACCGAAGGTCGCGAATGAGTAGCCTCACAATGGCTCAGAAAGAGTCCAGCTTCTGAGTGGCTCAGAATGTCGCTCAAGAGCGACCATCTGAAATATCTTCATTGAACTTTCAGAGCTATTGGAAAGGGGAAATACTGGGAGTTCCAATGGCGTTTAAGCTTCGCAAAAGATCGCATTTCAAAGAAGTTACTTTTGTCCGAAGCATGACACCCGCTTGCGATTCGATTAACGCGTACGAAACGCATCCGGAACAATATTTCAGAGCAGGACAAGATTAAAATTGCGATAAGGTAGAAGACGCAGCAGTAGAGGCATCGCTTCAATGTGCCGCCTTTCCTTTCTCAATAGCCCCACAACTGGAAAAGCTCACCCCCTAAAAAGTGTTAGAGCGCGCCCCAACGCTATTATGGACCGCTCGCTTGATAAATAAGGGAATCTAACTTGTGGGACCTTCTTTTCTCTTGATAATGGCTACTAACTGATAATTCACAACCTTCTATACATAAGCGGATCTGGAATATGAGGCAACGAGGTTCCACTTTTTTAGGTCGGGATAAGGCCTGCTCCATTTCCTGGGTGGGCTTCTCTTTGTTCCTCCTGTTTTATTGTTTGATTTTATAGAAGCGCCTCAAAAGTTCCTATCGTCTAAACTGCTCCAACTTCCAAAACATTTATAGTTTACAAGTCGAGTTCAAACAACGAAGAAAAAAAGAAACAGAAAGAATTCACCTAGGAACCAAAACACTGATCATTTTACGTAACATCAACAGGTGAAAACTTTATAACATCATGTCAAACTCGACGAATGAAAAAAGAAACGATAAAAAACCCAACCTAAATGAAGCTCTCACGCTTTTAGCTCATTTCTATCCTGAATCAAGAAAGTAACTAGAAAACAGAAGCCATTAAGCTGGGTTCAACTTTCTTTGTGTCAAACCATGCTTCAGTACCTAAGAGAATTGTAAAGGAAAAAAGCATGAAATTGAGTCGCTCCCTGAAACCCTTTAGAGCGGTCCAAGTAGTAGCATTTGGGCGCGCTCTGCTATGTACCGACGATCGCTGCGATCGCCGAGGTCGCCGCAATCTCCGCGATCGCCGCTGCTGTCGCGAATGAACGCTGTCTCATCCTTCTCGCCAGAGCAAACATCTGGAGGCGGATTGGGGGGGGGTCATAATCATTTCGCGAGGGTCATACTGACACCGCCATTTCACGCATCACAATGCGGTACCTGGAAAAAGTCTTTTCATTACTCCCGCTTCAAGATGAAGGGCACGATAATCTCTTAGATGTGTAAGGTGGCTTCGCTTACTCTCGTTTTGTGGTTTTACGACCCCTTACTTGTTTGGCTTTATCCACTTGATTCCCACGATTTTTTCAAATTCAAATTCAAATTTATTACATGCTCGATGACATGTAATTGCATAAACTTATAGAACATCTCATCAAGAAAAAAAACAACAACCAAATAGAACGAAAACAACAACTAAATAGAACGACAACCAAGAATAGTGCGAAAAAGAAAAAAAGAAAGACAAGTCAAAGGCAGACTCTACTTCACACAATTCAAGTAACGAAAACAGCCGCTTTTTTGACAGCTGCTTCGTTGAATGTTATTAATATGTCCCGCTTTTGGTAGGGACTACCGTTCATGCAGTTGTAAAGTTTGCTCCCGCTTGAAATAATGTGTTTACATATTTCCTTTGCAGTCTCTGTAATTTTTTCACATCGACCCGTTGAGGAACGGTTACTGATTTCAGGCACAGACTCGTACACATTTGTTTGCCCGTAGTACTGTATTGGTTGAATGTTCATTTTAGCGAACTTGGAAAGTCATTCCTCCATGATATTGACCAGCGTCAAGCGTACGCGCAACAACAAAGTTTTCGGAGAAAGAGAAAAAGAAATATAGATCAAGTCTCCGCATCGATGTGGATTCAACGTCATAGCTCTTTTCTCCTGTCTTGATCTGCAGTTGAACTTACAACACTGGGCGAAGCCTTGGGTGGGGGTGTCCTGATAGTGGTGCAGAAGTTAGATTCCAGCCGCATAGCAGTGGTTCGCGCGGTGCAGTGATCGTCAGGCTGCTCAAGGTATGGAGTCCTGGACTATGTAAGTCTGGTACTGTTCTTTATATCACTGTTGAAATGTTGCCCTATTGCTGAAGTACCTTTTTATCACCTCTCACCTTTTCATTCTCTCACTTTTTTGTCTATTGTTTTTCTCCCTAAACGCAGTACTCTTTGCCATGTGCGTCTTTCCAATACAGATAATCAGCAAGAATCGGAGGCATTGATTCCGTACGTTTTCTAGTGTAATGATAATGTAGGATTTCAGACTCGTTTTTCTTCATAGGTAATTTAATTATTATTTATCTGTTCAGGTCAACTGGACACAGTACTTTCTACTCATGGCACCGCCTGAAATTCACGATTACATACTACAAGATCCTCTTGTCGCTGTTCCCAGTACTGAATATCTGGAGAGGTCAGTTTTGTTTTAGTGAGATAAGCTTCAGGGCAAGTAATGTGACTGATAATATTAGGTTACCGGGAATTCTATCATGCTTTCAAACTCAAAAGACTTGCCCACACTCGGAGGGGGTGTTATCAATCATGTGAGTGTAATTCACAGGAAGATGCTCTTCCTATTAATATCACGCACTTGTCTCCTACTTTTTCTTCTTCTGAAATATGGACAAGAATGACATTCTGCATCATCGGCATCGACCTTCGGAACGCCTCACCAAATTCTTCATTCTAGCACCCTCACGTATGCATGAGAGCTGCCGACGACAAAACAAAAAAGCGGCATAAGGATGATGTCCCAATCACCGTGCAATCTTCCATAACGCCGAACACTCAAAGCTAATAGCAAAGCTGGGATAGCTATAGTGAGACGGATTGAGATCTGGATGTCCATCTGAGCTCAACTAAAGAAACTGCAGCTTTTACAACTACCGGATGAAGAAGCGTCAATCCACAAATAAAGTAGCTGAGAGTTTCGCAGCGAGTCGTCGATAAGACGAAAAGGTCCGTCTGCCTTCAATATTGCAGTGCAGCCGAGCCCTTCCCAAAAAAGGTCGAGCCGAACCTCATGCAATACAGGTGGATTCCTCTCGCTTTGCAGCGATGAAGCCCAGGCATTGGCCCTTCCAATTGCTCGTCGCCTCCTGAACGATTCGTAAATGGACAAGAAAAGCTTTGCGACAATTCCCAAGTTAAAATCGGAATGAAGTCTTTCTTTGAGAAGCAGCTGCTTGCATAGTGAAGCAATCGCGCCTAAAAAGTGCTCAAAAACCGGCGTGAACCCAGCAATAACGACTCCGCATAATTTGATTTTTTACGTTTTTTGTCTCCATAAATAGAAAGCCTAATTATAACTTCAGCAAAACAATCGATTTGACTCCAGTAAGTTCTTTTCAGACTCAATGAAGTTCTCAACGGAACATCACCAAGAACTCTCACTAATTATGTGATGCTTCAGTACATTTTATCATGGGCACCTTTACTGGGACAAAAATACACCGACCTAGTGCAAGTGAGACAAGGAGTTGTTTGGAGCAGTTGGCGAGGATCTTTCTAGATCCTGATGGCGTGAGAATAATCAGACTAGTGGTACACTGCAAAATCGGACACGTCCTACCAATTCTTCTACGACCACTCAGATTGCTCTATTAACCTTATGAAATATTTCACAACATGCGACTTTCAGTGGTTTGCTTCGTCAATCAGTACAACCCCTCCACGAAACAGAAGCGAAGTGTGCTTCTCCGAAACTAATAAGCACTATACACTGGCATTGTTAGCAATGTACGCACGTTCCAGGTCAACAAAGGTACGTGGAAGAGATGGCTATTCTAAATCACCAGTGCTGTAGTCGCGCTCGGGATGTTGGAAGCTGATCCGTTCTTGAATAGACTTTTAGTGTGTAGGCTTGCGTATGGCCCACAAGTTTGCCCTTAACGGTGAAAACATTCGGCACAGATAAATATGAAGGCAGAACCCGCGTTCATTCGATGTTCCTACATCCTCGTTCGATGTTGTCGCTCTGCCTGCGGGAGGATATATTCATTTTGTGCTCGAAAATACGAGAGGATAGCGCCGCCCGCTCGTGAACAGGTTGCCGCCCCGCCCAAGTGGCGACCACGATGCCCAACGTTCATTTCTAGAAGTTGCCTGGTGATGCGGTTGCTCGGCTACTAACCCTCTCTACTTTGAATGCTGAGAGTGATGTGATAAGAAAAAACAGATGATACCGGCAAGTTAGAGCTCGCGCGACAATACCTTCAATTCAATTCGATTGGCCCTATGCACGTACAAAGGCGGTTCAGTAGAGGCTATACATGAGACATTTCTGGTGAGTCTTTGGTGTTTTTTCATTGCTGAACATTTAGTACTCCACTATGAGCAGCACAGTTCTTCATTTTGAACGCGGGCTCTGCCATGAACTCAGTATTGTTGAATTCTCAGCGTATGTCAAATCTATGTCAGTAGACTGGTTCAGCTTGACAATAAGATCGTGAATCACCCTTATGTGGTTAAGGTTTTGGCGTCGTCGCCTTTTTTAGAGCCGGGAGAGTCAAGAAACATTCCACCTAACAAATCGTTCACACTCTACTTCAGCCTACGGAGTTTTGAAAGGATTATAATCTACTAGGATGACGAAAACTTTGAAAACCAATCTTAGGGATATCGACAGAAGATGTCCACCTCTCACCCCCGAGTTACTACCAAACCCCTCCAAAAGTCACTCAAAGCCTTCAAGTTTTCCACACCTGGATTGGACTCACGTGAAAATGTCGCGACAGCCATCTTAAAACAAGTGTGTCGATGACACCCTATGGTATGCTCTCAAAGGACTATCCATTTTGGACTTTTTCATGTCATCCAGGTGTTCCTCCACGCGGAAACAAAGAGGTTCGCCTATTCCTGAGTATACTTCTCTTTTCACAGGTTTTCACAGGTCTGATATAAACGGTACACAGAATAAGATTTTTGCTCGTTCCTCTTCGCGACAATAGTGCGCGGACCTCCTGTGCCTCTGGTGAGATTTTTTGGAAATGGCTAGCCACTTCTCCTTGTTACCTTAACGTCTGCTCTACTGAGACGGCTTTATCTTTAGTTCCCAATGCAATTTGTAAAGCTGCGTGTAACATATTTTTGATGATGGCTCTCTTAGTGCTGAAGGGATGAGCAGAGTTGCAACGATTTTGCTGGTGGGCTTGCGTACCATACAGTTCAGAATTTGCCACCATCAATCTGAATCTGAATGTTGAGACGATTGTCCGCCGGTAGCTCCCATGTGAGCTTTATATGTTCTGACTGCTGGTTCAACAGTTTGAATCATGTGACCATCTTCGTTCGAGTGGAACAAGTCGCCTACAAACTACCACTACAGAACTGCTTTGCGCTGCAGAACAAGAGTCTAGCTTTCTTGGTGTGAATGTTACTGCAACCACTGGAGCAGACCCTTGTCTCATGGTAACTCCATAATCTGTTCGTAATACTTACTCGATGATGTCTACTCAAAACTTCAAATACGGCTTGCGTAGTACAATCGCTACATCAAATTAAGTACATTGAAGTGATGTCGAGAAACTTTTTGTTCCTCCACTCCCTTTCAGGTGGTTTCTTTCGAAGTCCTGGTGTGATGTGAAAAAAAATATTTCAGAAGCTGCCCAAATATTAAACGCGAAACCATGGGTCGTTTGTGCAGCCGCCAACACTGCGAGTGGTTTGATATCATATTGAGATAGGTCATCGACAGGGACAGAAAATCTTCGCCTTTGTTGCTATTTCCGTAGCCCCGAACAGTGAAAGCATTTTAGCTCTCTTAATCCCGACTTTGAGTAACGTTTCTGTCTGTTCGTTTTCCGATGTAATGATGCGTTACAGCCAACAATAAGCAGACAGAGACGAGCTGCAATCCGAAGAGGGAATGGGCAGTGAAAAGTACGGTGGCCGCCCATAAGACGCCATGAATCGAAGGCATGGTCCGCGGTAAAAAGCCTAGGTGATTTTGCAGAAATGTGAAGAAAATTCGCCAAGTGAACCATCTATGAAGAGAAAATGCCAAAGGGAACGTTAGAAACGCATTCTTCAGGCCTCCTCTAGTCTCAAACAACTGTAGAGGTGAAAGGCCGAAAAGACCGCGCGCTGGGACACCGTCGACTGATTCTCAGTAATGAACCTATAACTCTACAAGAGACATTGAATGCATCCATTCCATGATACTTGCCCGGGAGCATTACTTTTGGCTGGAAGGCCGACTTCGGAGGCGGAGTCTGGAGGCGGAGTCACTGGAAAAAGGGATGTACCACTGAAGCAACTTTGCGCCTTAACCGTTTTTACCGTGGAACTTCTCGCCGTGAATCTGGCACAAGGTTTGTCCAATCCAAACCGCACTCTCTTCCCACATAACCTTTTGCATTCTCATGATAGGTACTCGGACCTTTCTGAAGCAGGGTTACATGTGTCTGCACGGAAAACCCTATCTAAACACTTACCTTCCTAACGCGTCTGCATAGAGTCAGATGCATGGTGCAATACAGCGATGATGTCAATCGGCGTGAAAGAACAATCATTTTCTGATAACTTCGGAAATTAGTGCGTCAGAGACACAGTCAACGTTATGGCCGCGATGGCCCATGTAAATGTAAAAGTTGCGGGGAAAGGTAGTGTGGTCTGTGGGTGGAGCTGTAGGTGGTGGACAGCTCTGTGCCAACACCACGACGGAATGTGAAGAGAGTGAGAAGCGAAGATGAATGCCCCACCAACAACAAATCCACGGCTCTGAAACACTGCGATATCAAAAAAGGGTACTCTTAATATTCGGGCCAATTTTGCAACATAGCGTTGAATAGCGCATCCCATGAAAGCTGCCAGCGAGCATTTAAAGTTTATGTGCTGCATTTTATACCATCTCATTTGGGGGAAGAGTGGACAATGTACTGCCCATTCTTTCGCGGGGGGGGACGTATCAAGCAGGACACAACACAACAATTCTACACACACCCGCTGAGCCAATGCAGTCAATGCTAGCCCTTTCTCGCAGCCCATCGTGCAATAACTGCACGTTACCGACAACCTTCAGCGATACCCTTTCATATAGAGGTTACGTTTTGTTACGAAATCCTGAGACGCAGACGATAGAGGGCAACGGCTGCCACAGCATCGAAACGTGCAAAGAACGTGTGGCAAGCCAGGAAACGGGGTTTTCTAAGAGGAGGGGACTCCAGGGTGGGTGAGCTACTTATAGTCGGTGAAAAGCTGGGGTGAGCGAAGTCACAACGGCCATGGAGTGCCGGGAGGAGGGAAGAACTTACCCATGCGCGTATGCGGCGCGCTTTCTCCACGGCGCCGCGGGGGCAGAGCGGAGCGAAAGGTGGTGGCCCGCGTCCCTCTTTCATTTGGAAAGGAAAACAGGGAAAAGTATAGGGAACTGAACAGATAATGGGTGCATGCTTGGGTTGGTGGTAGCGGCAGGAGATCACAGAAAAGTCGACTATCACGAATTACTTCAGTGAATGGGAGAACTGGCGGCATAGTTCCCTTCGATTGTGGAAACGAAAAGAAAACGAAAGCAGCTTTTACACGAAAATTCAAGCTGAGCTTTGGCAAATTGCCAACAGTTGGTGGTGACCTTACAAGGCTATAATGTCACGTTCCATTCCAGAAAAGCATTCTGCCAGTTCAGCTGTTGACTGAAATAATACGCTCTGATTCTCGACTTTTCTGTATTCTCTGCTAACTATTACCACTAACTCACCTATGAGCGTTCACTATTTGTTCGATCCTCATTCAATTCGATTTTCTTTTCTGTCCTCCTCCTTGGGGCCTAAAAAGGGCCTCTGATCGAAGCACGGTGGCGGAGGTGGAAGCGATCACACTTCGCCCGCCCGTCGCCGCGGTGCCGTGAAGAAACCGCGCTGCACACGCGCACGGGTGAGTCTGTACATGGAGCCATGGGGTGCCATGCAGACGAGCGGGTGCAGAGAAAAAGAAAAAGATCGACCAGGGCACATCACTGGTTGGGGGATTTTGGTAGAGTCCGTAGGACCTCCCCCCCCAAATGCGGATCGATACGACCCCCCTCCTTCTAAGGTTCGTGGTTTTTTTGCCTTTTTACTTGCGTTTTCTTCCAACACCTTTGTGAAGGAAAATAAATGTCGAGCTAAAAAAAATCCCTTTGGCTTCTGAACATCTTCCAGCACTGAGCATCACCCAGCCGAAGATGAGTGTGATGGGTCTGTATGAGTTAATTTCCAAACATGCCGTAGGTACACAAAACAGGATTCCAGCAAAATTCTCACCCTATTCACACGAATTCAGTTTAGATGAAGTCCGGTGTTCTAATACATGTGTTACTTCAGTTAGGATGGAAAATCATAACTTTGAACAGGCGAAAGTTCAAAAATTATAACGGGTTTTCAGCGTTTTCTACCACTGCTTGCTAAGTGAGCGAGTTAGAGATCCACACCCTCTTTGGAAAATCCTGGTAAAGAGGATTGTTGATCTACACCGCGAAGGATGCTGTGCTGCAACCTACAGACTGTTGTGTTCAAGTTCGCGGGCGCGGGAAGAACTGGTAGCCATGCCATTTGGGTACCAATACGCACGCCGCGTCCGCGCTCTATTGCGTTGGGGCGCGTTTTTAGGCCTTAGCAAACCAGCTCGTCTTCGAAGGATTATAACTTTCTTCAATGCAGACTGTATGAAAAACGAAAACGCATTCGAAATGTGCCATCTCCCACGCAGAGGTAGTAAGATGATTTGGGCTCAACGGAAAGTACTGAAATGTGGTTGCCGAGTTCAGAGAGAAGTTCAGCGTCGGGGATTTTCGAAATTGGATGCAAAAAGACCGACACTGTCCTGGTTTGAACCAATATATCTTCTAACAACATAATTGCTTGCAAATTTGAACCAAGCGTCGAATACTAGAGGGCTCCTTCTTCCAAATAACCACTTCACTTGTTTCTGAAGTTCTCGGGAATCATGAGAAACACGCGTTTGGGATTTTCTGAGGAACACTCCGAGCAGCGCTAAAACGCCGTTTTCTGTGTACTGTTTCAAGTGGGCGTATTCGGATATTCAGGAATGCATCTAAAATGGATCCCTTCGTGGGATAGGAACGTTCAGTAATTAGTTTAGTGAGCAATAGCTTCGTTTCTGGATGCGCCATGCTTATGCTCCCACGAAGAGGTAGTAGGATGGCGCAAGTTCTACGCAATGCCTGTCTACGCGAGCAGATGTGTTTGTAGGATCTGGGGAGGTCCATGGCCAACCCACGCACTTGCTTACAGTCTTGTCCGTTGCGGATGACGTTGCGGCGTGCCTGCCCCATCACCCGCAACGGAAAACGGCAACCGCACTTCTTCAGATCCCGCTCCACCACAAGTCCGAAAAAGGGGACCAACTATTGAAATACGTCTGATACGAACGATATGGTTATAGATCCGGGCTCTCTACAAAGCAAGTTTCGCTATACAGGGCCAACACACTGACAGCTACTTTGCGCTGCTCGTTACTGAATGTTCATCCCCCCAACGGCGATGTGCCCTGAGATCGACGCGTTTCATTGGATTGAGTTCAAGTTGTCCGTATAATTAACCCGAACTTCTCCCCCGTATGATCGAGAAGGGACGCGCGCTTGGGTAGCAGATGAAGATGAAACGTACATTAGGCGGGTATGCAACTTTAACACGACTCATTAAACGAACCTCAAACTTGGATAACTAAATGGGGATACAGTACGTATGTGTGCGTGCGTTCACGACGCAACATTGCTTCACGCGCAATTTTCGGGGGCACTGTACGCATCCTGACAACCTGAACTTATAATCTTGTATGTAGTTTGAGCAGGTAGCCCATCAGGTCGCATGCTTAAGGGACCGCCTGAGGATTGATCACTCAGACCGATTTCTCCCAATGATCTTGTTGGAGCTGAAACAGTCTGCTGCTGCATACTAAGTGGAATCGTACATGAACATGAATCATCAAGGTTTTTTTGTCAAAGTCGGTCTCCAATGGTTCAGTTGACGAATTAGTGACTATGACAGTGACGAAGGCATCAAAATAGATTAAAAGCCTCTGGGAAGTGTGCATAATTGGGAACTTCTAAAACGTTGCGTGTGATCGTAATCTGCCCTTTGAATTGCAGCTGGTAGATGGGAACTGTGAAGGAAGGCTGACTTTTTTTCTCTTTAGGTCCTAAGACCATTAATGGAAGAAATGCTCGTTGGGATTATCAAAGGGCTTAAAGATGAAATAGAGCAAAGTAAGTGGATGAGCGAAGAGTTCAAGCAGGTGAAATTTTGAACCCATTGGCGATGGACTAGTATGCTGACTCCTAGGTTTGGCAGGCATAAAGATCAGACGAGCCTACTTTTTTCTTCTTCAGCGTTTGTCCACTAGCTGGCGGGTTCCGTTCTTGTCATGCAGCGACGCCACTCCTCAGATCGTTTTGGATGCCGGCAATTTTCAAGTCTCTCAGCAGCATGCCAGGCCAGCGCTGTTTGAGACCCCTTTTGGCAAATTCTGGGTGCTTTGACTTGGAGACCAGATCGTCATCTAGATCATGCCGCACTCATCCTGGCGCTCACTTCTGTGTATAGATCACCATTAAATGCAACTGCTGATGTGGAATACTTCAATGTTCCTGCACGCTCAAGGCCAGTGCCAGCGAAACTGGTGGAGCTGAGCTCGTTTGGATCGGTGTCATGTACTCGGTCTTTTGAAGTTTAACCTCAGTCCAAACTTCGCCAGGACATCGGCTCAAGTTTGCGCTTGTTGTTCGAGTATGGTCTTACTTTCACAGGCAAGCGTCACCACCGTAAAGAAGCGTCCAAGAAACTTTACTTCAGTAGATCTAGTGCGTCGATATGGCGTCCACGACGACGACAAGTAAGAGGGAATAGCCAAGAGTCTTGTGTACCCTAACGGGGTAAGGAATTTCATTGAGATGCCCGCAGGTAATGTAACCTGACTCCCTGGATTTGAATAAAGGATGCGCATTCAGTCAATCAGCTCTTCAGAGATGCGCTGCTGTCACAAGCCGTACCAAGCAACGTCACACGGAACGCTGTTAAATCTTTATCTTCATTTAGAAATGCGTCATGCAATGACTTTTGCTTTTCTCGATGTTTCTCCAGCAAAATGAGGCACCACAATTGTCGGCAGAAAGTCGAATGGTGTCACGGATATCGCACAAAGATTCTCATGCTGGGCGATAGGCGAATTCGACCATAGTTCAAGCACACTGCCGGGCTTCCCTTTTTCTTCTTTCTTCCAAATCGAGATTGTCGTGCTCTGCAGTTAAGCTGCCACGTCGTTCGGAACCTGTTGCTTTGCCAACGTTTATTTCCCCCCCTACCTTTCCTGAGCTGGACCGTATGACGATGAGGCACAGTGGAGGGACGGGTGGATGAATTTTATTGTTGATATGCTCTCAAGTGATCATGCATCGTTGCATTACCTTCTTTCGATCCATTACAATATGGCCATCAACGTCATTTATGGTGAAAAAAATTTCTCTATAACTCCGGTTTAGAGGAGACGAGATCGTTTCTCGGCAGGGACAATAATCATCATTAAACAATCGTCAATAGGAACTACGCTCTTATTCTAGTCACGACACCGTTGATGCACGAATGCTGCTACACCCCTCGCGGTTTCCGGGCCGCCACAAGGAAGGGCTTAGATAACTTCTTCCTTCTTGCGGGCTGCCCATCTCGCCTCTTGCACTGCGCAGACGTCAACCCTTCTGCGCTCTAGTGCTTCTGCCAGCTAATACGAGTGCCCATCTAGCGTACCAATCTTAAGCGTATCAACACGCACACACTCAGAAACTTTACATTAGATATGAGAAGTTTCTCTGTTAATTTACATACCTTCTGATAGAGAGCTGTTTGCACAGTAGGTCAAAATGTTTTCCTTTTTGAACAAGCGTTGTTGGCAATCTAATATTTCGTATCCAATCAGAAAACCTAAGCGGCAGATGCTGTTCTAAGAAATGTACGGCCAAACGGCAGTGAGAAAGATGGGGCTCAAGCTTGTTTGTAACGTTTATAAATTAGAATTGGGCCTCGCAAACAAGTGTCGCCTTACACGCATTACTGTCCCGCCACCTCCACCATAACCTAGAATTAAGAGAACAACTAGTTGTAACTGATGTTCTATTACTTCTGCGTCAACGAGCTTTGTAGGTGGAACTTTATTTGCGGCCTAACGTTTCGACCAGACCGTCGTCCTCAGAGGCCTGAACGTAGCCCAAGCTTTCTAATTTGCTCTCTACCCCGCCAAACTCCTTGTCTTCCCAGCTTTTCCGACGGTACTTCTAGAAACGACCAAAAACCTCCCGTAGGTAAAACATACTCACCGAGTCCACCGCGGCATGAGCGGATCAATGCCGCTCCACTAGATGTTAGTAAAGTAAGTGAGACACACCGTGCTGTCCTTGGATAGTAGCTATCAGGACTTGCACATCTCACGGCTTACATCATTAGCTCGCAATGTGGTGAAAACGGTAAAAGATCATTTGTTATGGCTAAACACTCATTTCGGTTATTCATCCTAGGATTCCTTGCGGAAATCCAGAATGCCTAGCGCTTTTCTGGCGGAGATCTCAGTTTCGTACGCTAGGATCCAGCACTTCACATCAAAATCGCTTCCGCGGTGCTTATCGATTAGATGCTTCCCTAACGGTGTTGTTGTGTTACCACGCCTTTTACCAGCAAGATGTTCTTTGATACGTAATGCCAGTGGCCTACCAGTCTCCCCATTGTATGCTGCATTACATGTCTGGCATTCGATTTGATAGATCACGGCAGCTTTGGCACAATCTCCTGCTTTACCGTTAGGACATATAACACAATGATCTGATATGCAGTGTCTGTCTGTTACGTACAAGCTGGCGCCTGATGTTGTCATTAGGGATGTTTACTAAGACCACATCATCCTCCATTCCTGTCCGAGCCAAACATCTTCGAATTGCAGCACTTACATTATCAGATATGAACGGTATACATAAGGGAAATCTTGTTTTGGCCAGTCTCACGTGGTACCTAGGGCGCTCAGAGTGAACCCTTCTGTGGGTTTGTGGAACAGTATAGCCATTAGAAACAGCTAAATCAGCAGCCAGGTCGTGTAGACTCTTGCCGTTCTGCCATACCTGTGCTAACGTTTACAGCTGTCCTTGAACATGTTTCGGAACACTGCATGTTTCAGGGCAGAAGGATGTGCAAAGTGGCATGAACCAGGATGTTTTTAGAGCTTGCTTTCTTGTAAGCCACTTCACACTGAGCATGCCATCGGAAACTTTCACCTGCGTATTCAAGTAAGGCAGCCAACCATTGCGGGTAATCTCTCGCGTGAGCTTAATGTACTGCGACTGCTGGTTCATCAAACGATAACACTCATCCATTTCGGATTGTGTTGATGTTACGATAAAGCAGTCATCGATGTACCTGCAGTACATTAAGGGCAACCGCTCCAGTACTGGCTCTTCTATTCTGCTCATGAAGCAAACTGCAAGTACTGGTGCTAAGCGTTGACCCATCGCGAGACCTCTCATTTGAGCATAATAGGCTCCTGACCATTTAAAGATGTTACACTCTAAACCTGCCTTGATTAGAGTCATAATGTGCGCTTTATCTAATCCAAAGGTCTCCATGCTTCCAACATGTCTGTCCAACATTTCAGACAAAGCCTGTAGAGCTTGTTCGCTTTGGACATTAGTATAGAGCGAAGTGACGTCGAATGACTCCACTACTCAATTGGATGTTAACCGCACATTGCGTAACTGCTCAAGGAACTTAGTCGTATTGGTCAGGTGAGAGGGAACTCTGGTCAACAACTTGCCCACGATGCAATTGAGAAACCATGAGAGATTCCCCGCAGTGGTTGGCTGCCTTTCTTGAATATGCAGGTGAAAGTTTCCGATGGCATGCTCAGTGTGAAGTGGTACAAGAAAGCAAGCTCTAAAAACATCCTGGTTCATGCCACTTCTGCACATCCTTCTGCCTTGTAACATGCAGTTGTCCGAAACATGTTCAGGACAGCTGTGAACGTTAGCACAGGTGTGGCAGAACGGCAAGAGTCTACACGAATGGCTGCTGATATAGCTGTTTCTAATGGCTATACTGTTCCACAAACCCACAGAAGGGTTCACTCTGAGTGCCCTAGGGTGACTGGTCAAAACAAGATCCCCTTATGTATACCGTTCATATCTGATAATGTAAGTGCTGCAATTCGAAGATGTTTGGCTCGGACAGGACTGGAGGATGTTGTGGTCTTAGTAAACATCCCTAATGACAACATCAGGCGCCAGCTTGTACGTAACAGACTCTACGACAGACATTGCATATCAGATCATTGTGTTATATGTCCTAACGGTAAAGCAGGAGATTGTGCCAAAGCTGGCGTGATCTATCAAATCGAATGCCAGACATGTAATGCAACATACATTGGGGAGACTGGTAGGCCACTGGTAACACGTATCAAAGAACATCTTGCTGGTAAAAGGCGTGGTAACACAACAACACCGTTAGGGAAGCATCTAATCGAAGAGCACCGCAGAAGCGGTTTTGATGTGAAGTGCAGCATCCCTAGCGTACGAAACTGAGATCTCCGCCAGAAAAGCGCTAGAGCATTCTGGATTTCCGCAAGGAATCCTAGGATGAATAACCGAAATGTGTGTGTAGCCATAACAAATGATCTCTTACCGTTTTCACCACATTGCGAGCTAATGATGTAAGCCGTGAGATGTGCAAGTCCTGATAGCTACTATCCAAGGACAGCACGGTGTGTCTCACTTACTTTACTAACATCTAGTGGAGCGGCATTGATCCGCTCATGCGCGGTGGACTCGGTAAGTATGTTTTACCTACGGGAGGTTTTTGGTTGTTTCTAGAAGTACCGTCGGAAACGCTGGGAAGGCAAGGCGTTTGGCGGTGTAGAGAGCAAATTAAAAATCTTGAGCTACGCTCAGGCCTCTGAGGACGACGATCTGGTCGAAACGTTAGACCGCAAATAAAGTTCTACCTACAAACCTCATTGACGCAGAAATAATAGAACATCAGTTACAACAATGCCGAGGTTATACGAAGAGAGAAGTTGGAGACTACTGGAGAACAATTAGTGCTTCCGCACTTTTATTGAGCCTCACTTTCGTGTGATGCGAAACTTTTAGAACCCTAGTGCGTGGTTGAGCATGCAGTCGCTCCTCAACGCAAGATGGGTGCGATATGTTTACGGAATTGAATGTTCCAGCTCTCGCATCAAATATGTATATGGCGACCATACGAGACGATCAAACGCAT